AGCAGGAGACCCTACACCATTTCTGACAGACGGCCTTTTCTCGAAAGTCTCCAGGGATGGCTTTCTTGTTTTTTTGCAGGCGTCTCATTACCGACACTAAGTAACGCCATCTGCATGGAAAACAAGCAAGCCCAGAGTCATTGCAACCCCGAGCTACAAATACCCTCCCTTATTGGAAGCGCAGAGGCTTTCTGCACGGGGCCAGAGGCTAGGGAGCCTTCGGAGCAGCTGTCACCGCCAGCCTGCCTGCCGCTGCCGAGGCCCGGCCCCGGGCCAGCTGCTGCCTACCCACCGTTCCCTCCCTCCCCTTCCTTTCCTTTCCTTTCCCTTCCCCACTGAAGCTCAGCTCCTCCCCCGCCGCTCGCTCGCTCGCTCGGCTGATCCGGCTCGGAGCGCAGGAGCCGAAGCGGAGAGCGCTGCCTTGGCAGGTGGAAAGAAGAAGGAGGAAGAGGAGGAGGAGGAGGAAGAAGAAGAAGAAGAAGAAGAAGCCCCCGCGATCCTCTCGCGCGCGGATCGTGCGCGCCCTCCCTGCCCGGCACCACCATGCAGCGGCCGGCTGAGCGAGCCTGTCTCCTGCTCGCCATCCTGCCCGCCGCCTTGCTCGCCCTGGCCCCGCTGCCCGCCTCCCTCCCTCTCGCCGCCGCCGCTGCCAGGAACGCCAGCAGCAGCAGCAGCAGCCCCAGTAAGGGCGACTCCCGCGAGCCCCAGAAAGTGGCCGCCGCCTCGACGCCTCCTCCTCCTCCGCCGCCGCCTTCCGTCGGGAATCACAGCGGCGGCGGCGGCGGTGCCCAGCAGCGCAACCCGGTCCTGGCGATGCTGCGCGATCTGCCGGCGCTCAAGGCCGCTGTCGTCGGAGCCTGCGCGGCCAGCGTCTGTCTGATGGCCTGCTTGCTGTTCCGCGTCCTCAGGTGCGGCGGGAGGAAGGGGCGCGAGGGTCCCACACTGCCCGCCAACCTTTCGCTCCTGGGCCCCTTAAAGCAGCTGAGCCCTTTCCCCGGCCCTCTAACCCACCCCACTCCTGGGGCAGGTGAAGGGGAGGTGAAGGGAAGGTGGGCTTTTATCCTGTTGCAGTGGGTGGGTGGGTGGGTGGGTTAGAAGCGCTGCCCACCCCTTACCTTCCTAAACCCCATCACAACCTGACAAGAGAGGCCAGGGGTTCCTCTGCCTTCCTGGTGGAGAAGAAATAAGGATTAAACCCAGTTTGTGTTTGAATATTCTCAGCCTGTCTCTTTGCATTGAGGCCCATCTGGGCTGTAAGGATGATATGGAATTCTTATGTAAGGAATTATTTTCCTCATGCCTCCCCCCCCAATATACTACTGTCTAATGCTGTCTAATAACGCTGTCCAGTCTTGTAAGGCAGGCTGGTATATCTTCTTGACATAAGAGGCTTGAGAATCTAAAAGAGCCGTCGCTTAAGACCTTAAGCCTGTGCCTTTCCCTTATCCTGACTTTTTAACCTTGCTTTGTTCTGTTGGCATTGGCCTAAATCGGAAATATTTCATTCTTTTTGAGAGGGGCTTCCCACCCCTCTGCAAAATTCAGAAGCGGGAACCTTGCATGTTGCAGATTGTTCTCCCTTTCTTGCTTATGAAGAGGCTTGAGAACAGCTGCCAACAGCCGATGGTTTCATGGTGAGGCGGGGAGATTTAAAGCAAGGCTTTCTGGATTAAAACGGAGCTGCTTCGCCCAGGCTCAAGCACAATGGAGTGTGTGAGCCCTCCCCCACCGCAGGCACAGCACTCATGAACAAAATGTGACTTTTCAGGAAGGAAAAACCTCCTTACTTCCCCTCTGAACAGGATATTTTTCTGTAAGGGAAGAAACACTTCAGGACTTTTGCTGCTTGATATTAACGGGGACCTGAGCTAATGGATAGCAATAGCAATAGCACTTAGACTTATATACTGATTCACGTTGCTTTGCAGCCCTCTCTAAGCAGTTTACAGAGTCAGCCCATCGCCCCCAACCATCTGGGTCCTCGGAAGGATGGAAGGCTGAGTCAACCTTGAGCCAGTCAGGATTGAAGTGCTCACAGTGGGCAGAGTTAGCTTGCAATACTGCATTCTAACCACCAGGAAGGAAGGAAGGAGGGGGGGGGGAGGAAGGAAGAGCACTTAGACTTATATACCACTTCACAGTGCTTTTACAGCCCTCTCTAAAGCAGTTTACAGAGTCAGCCTATTGCCCCCAACAATCTGGGTCCTAATTTTACCCAACTTGGAAGGATGAGAGGCTGAGTCAACCTTGAGTCTGGTGAGATTTGAACTGCCAAATTGCAGGCAGCCGGCAGTCAGCAGAAGTAGCCTGCAGTACTGCACTCTAA